TACGATCAGGTGACACAGATTAAGCAAGAAAGAGAGGGCTGGGCGGACTGCATTTTCTTGGATTGTCGGAAAGCCTTTGACACAGTACCGCATAAGAGGCTGGTACATAAGCTGGAGAGACAGGCAGGTGTAGCTGGTAAGGTGCTCCAGTGGATAAGGGAGTATCTAAGCAATAGGAAGCAGAGAGTTACGGTGAGGGGTGAGACCTCCGATTGGCGTGAAGTCACCAGTGGAGTCCCACAGGGCTCTGTACTCGGTCCTATCTTGTTTCTGATATATGTAAATGATCTCCCGGAGGGTATCGATTCATTTCTCTCAATGTTTGCGGACGATGCTAAAATTATGAGAAGGATTAAAACAGAAGAGGACTGTTTGAGGCTTCAAGAAGACCTAGACAAGCTGAAGGAATGGTCGAACAAATGGTTGTTAGAGTTTAACCCAACCAAATGTAATGTAATGAAGATAGGTGTAGGGAGCAGGAGGCCAGATACAAGGTATCATCTGGGAGAGGAAATTCTTCAGGAGTCAGAGAAGGAAAAAGACTTGGGGGTTGATATCACGCCAGACCTGTCTCCTGCAGCACATATCAAGCGGATAACATCAGCGGCATATGCCAGGCTGGCCAACATACGAACGGCATTCAGAAACTTGTGTAAAGAATCATTCAGAACTTTGTATACCACATATGTCAGGCCAATCCTGGAGTATGCAGCCCCAGCATGGAGTCCATATCTAGTCAAGGATAAGACTAAACTGGAAAAGGTTCAAAGGTTTGCCACCAGACTAGTACCCGAGCTGAGAGGTATGAGCTACGAGGAGAGACTACGGGAATTAAACCTCACTTCGCTGGAAGACAGAAGAGTTAGGGGGGACATGATCACCACATTCAAGATTCTGAAGGGGATTGATAGGGTAGATAAAGACAGTCTATTTAACACAAGGGGCACACGTACTAGGGGACACAGGTGGAAACTGAGTGCCCAAATGAGCCACAGAGATATTAGAAAGAACTTTTTTAGTGTCAGAGTGGTTGACAAATGGAATGCATTAGGAAGTGATGTGGTGGAGGCTGACTCCATACACAGTTTCAAGTGTAGATATGACAGAGCCCGATAGGCTCAGGAATCTGTACACCTGTTGATTGACGGTTGAGAGGCGGGACCAAAGAGCCAGAGCTCAACCCCCGCAAACACAACTAGGTGAGTACAACTAGGTGAGTACACACACACCCACACACACACACACACACACACACAAACACACACACACCTGTGTGTGTGTTTATCCATACACAGTTTCAAGTGTAGATATGATAGAGCCCAGTGGGCTCAGGAACTTGTACACCTGTTGAATGACAGTTGAGAGGCGGGACCAAAGAGCCAGAGCTCAACCCCCGCAAGCACAATTAGATAAGTACAATTAGGTAAGTACACACACCAGGCTACCTGGGGGCCTGGTAGCCTGCTGGATAGCGCGCAGGACTCGTAATTCTGTGGCGCGGGTTCGATTCCCGCACCAGGCAGAAACAATAGGCAAAGTTTCTTTCACCCTGAGTGCCCCTGTTACCTAGCAGTAAATAGGTACCTGGGAGTTAGTCAGCTGTCACGGGCTGCTTCCTGGTGTGTGTGTGTGTGTGTGTGTAGTGTGGGAAAAAAGTAGTTAGTAAACAGTTGATTGACAGTTGAGAGGCGGGCCGAAAGAGCAGAGCTCAACCCCCGCAAGCACAACTAGGTGAATACACACACATACACACACACACACACACACACACACACACACACACACACACACACACACACACACACACACACACACACACACACACACACCTAGAGAGACTGTAATAAACTCCAAATAACCTTCACAAACTGTCAAATTTAAAAACAAATGGCTAACAGAGTTTAACTCAAACAGGAGCAACGTAATGAAGCCGTGTATTAGGAACAGTGGGCCGGACACACTGTACCAAATGGGAGATAAATCCCTCCTTGAATCGAACCGAGAAAAAGACACGAATGTTCTTATGGCCCAGGAGCTGTCATCCAACCCTCACATAAAACATCAGCGGCGTCCGCACGGTTGTTATACATAAGAACTGACTTATCTGGTTTGTGTGTGTATTACGGGCTATTCATGCCCGTGCCACCTCTTGGGTGGCTTAATCTTTATCAATCAATCATCTGGTTTGTGTCTCGGAGAGGCTGCAGGATCCGTGAGAGGGCAGCAGCACGATTGATTGATTGATGAAGATTAAGCCACCCAAGAGGTCGCACGGGCATGAATAGCCCGTAAGTGGTGGCCCTTTTGAGCCATTACCAGTATCAATAGATGATACTGGAGATCTGTGGAGGTGCGACTGCACCCTGCGTGACGGGAGATGTCTCCCGTGACACATTTTGTCCGTCGCATTCTTCAGTATATATGGGCCCAGCGCAGAGTTCTTATCTCGTTATAAGATATATAACGAGATAAGAACCCTTCGTTTTGTTATAAGACAAAACGAAGTTAAACAAAGTACAAAGACGCCACCAGACTAGTCCCAGAACTAAGGGGTAAGAATTATGAGGAAACATTATATGAATTAAACTTTGTGTTAATTGAAAAGAGAAGAGTCAGAGGGGAGATGATTACCACATACAAAATTCTTAAGGAAATAAGGCAAACAAGGACAGATTATTTATAATAGGTGGGACGTGAACGAGGGGACGCAGGAGGCAATTAAAGACTCACATTAAGGACAGAGAAAATAATTTCACGATCAGAAAAGCAAATTGCAAGAATGCACTTAGAACTTAAGGTAATTATCAGGAGAAAGCACTAAGCCTATACAGCACTTAGAAGGGATGAGGATTAGGATTTGGGATAGGACAAAGGAAAGGAACGATATCCAACCAGGACGATCGGGGATTGAACGCCGACCTGCAAGAATCAAGACCGTCGCGTCGTATACAAGTGGCGTAGACAGAGTCCAATCCCCAGCTTCACCAGTCGAATAAGTCCCAATAACGTGGCTGAAGTATGTTGACCAGACCACACACTAGAAGTTGAAGGGACGACGACGTTTCGGTCCGTCCTGGACCATTCTCAAGTCGATTGTCTCATTCTCACAATCAACTTGAGAATGGTCCAGGACGGACCGAAACGTCGTCGACCCTTCAACTTCTAGTGTGTGGTCTGGTCAACAGTCGAATAATATAGAGAGGCGGGGCCACAGAGCTGAATCTCTCACCCCACTCAAAACCCAATTATGTGAAGCCAGACATTTGTTGCTATCACAAAGGGGCGCGCGAAGAACACAATCTAATAACAGCGACTCTAATGAAGACAAAGCAATTCTGGGAAGAAAGAAGGGCGCAGCGCTGGACTGAGGATAACAGAGTTACCCCACACACCGCCCGGCCGCACCACCAGGGTCCCGGGTTCCAGGCTCCAGGGGGATAACATACCCCACCACGGTCAAAACATGGCGGTTTTCGACCGTGTAATAATACTATTTTATGTTTATTTTACAACGAGAACCAACACACACACACACACATCTCAGAGGGAGGACATTATCAGGGGTAAAGCGCCAAGCCATCACGACTATATAGCCCTGGGATAGGATCAGGATAAGGATCTGGGATGGGACGGGTCTCGCAGGAGGAGGATATTCTTAACCGGAAGACTAAGCACATGGAAGTTAACATCATCGGAGTGCAAGAAGCTGCTTGAAGAATTAAACAAACAGATGAAATCTGCGGATCAAGACTATAGAGCCCCCCCCCCCCCCCCCCCCCCCCCCCCCCCCACACACACACATGTCAGAGGAGCGTGTTACAACATTACACACAAAAATCACAATAGCGTGATGTATCAAGTGAACAAATAACCCTGGTTTGTGTCTCGGAGAGGCTGCAGGATTCACGTAAGTTAGGGACAACATCTGGTTTCAACTCCTTTGACCATGTCGTAGCTTATCAGTCGATTAAGGCAGCGTCTGGGATGATCTCGGACGTAGGTTCGAATCCCCATCACGGCCCTTGAGGATTTCTTCAGCGTGTTACAACTCCGACAAGACTAATGCCCTATAATAATGTACAATATTCCCTCACGTGAAATGAGAGAACTACCAAACAGCAGAAGGACGGCTAATGTCATATGCTCCTTTTTTAAAGTGATAGAAATTAGTTCCTAACAACAGAATTGATCACTGATGTGTGTAATCTGTACCTTAATAGATGTTCACACACAGAGATGTTCACATCACACACAGAGATGTTCACATCACACACAGAGATGTTCACATCACACACAGAGATGTTCACATCACACACAGAGATGTTCACATCACACACAGAGATGTTCACATCACACACAGAGATGTTCACATCACACACAGAGATGTTCACATCACACACAGAGATGTTCACATCACTAACGTGATGCATCAAATGAACAAATCCACAAGGGCCGTGACGAGGATTTGTGATCCTGTGATCCTCGTCACGGCCCTTGTGGATTTGTTCATCTTAATATTGATTGATTGATGAAGATAAAGCCACCCAAGAGGTGGCACGGGCATGAATAGCCCGTAAGTGGTGGCCCTTTCGAGCCATTACCAGTATCAAAAGATGATACTGGAGATCTGTGGAGGCGCAACTGCACCCTGCGTGACGGGAGATGTCTCCCGGACCAAGTGGTGACCAAATGGTGTCATCTTAATATTTGAACATCTTAATTTGAACTTAATTTGAACATCTTAATAGATGTTCTACTACCGTCTTGGTTAATCTTAGTAAGGAGAGAGTAGTGGATAACTTAGTAAGGATAAATCTCCTAACAATGTGACACAGAATAGCGAAAGAGAAGTCCTATCTGGTAAAGCTGGTACGAGTTCTTTGGCATGATGGCAACCATAGCCTGGTTGATCAGGCCAGCAACCAGGAGGCCTGGTCGACGACCGGGCCGCGGGGACACTAAGCCCCGGAAGCACCTCAAGGTAACCACCTCAAGGTATGATGGCACAGATCAGGGAGAAAGAGAAAGGTATGCTGATGTCTCTTCCTAAATCGGATTGGAGGATTTTGTTAAAGCTTGAGATACAAATGGAGTAATTAGAGATGTATTTTACACAAGTCTGAGATTAATACTCAGAAAACAGAGCTCAAAATTTAGGGGATTAATAAGCAGAACTCCCCAAGGATTAGGGTTAGATCCATTTGTTGTTTCTGATGTTACTGAAAAAACTGAATGAGTTGGATCAAAGAAAATGTTTGTAAACGATACAAAACAGATGAAACGAATTAGAACAGAGAACGATTACCTAATGCATTCTTCAAGATACCTTCGACCAAATAAAGAAGAACCGATCTAAAAAAAACAGCTATTTGTATGATATGAAATAACAGACGTAGATGAAGATGTCTTAGAGTCAACACAAGTCGAAATAAAAAAAAAAATATTAGAACTACAGAAGGTTTAAGAGATTTGAAGAAATCCAAACCGGGAGCCGGTCGGCCGAGCGAACAGCACGCTGGACTTGTGATCCTGTGGTCCTGGGTTCGATCCCAGGCGCCGGCGAGAAACAATGGGCAGAGTTTCTTTCACCCTATGCCCCTGTTACCTAGCAATAAAATAGGTACCTGGGTGTTAGTCAGCTGTCACGGGCTGCTTCCTGGGGGTAGAGGCCTGGTCGAGGACCGGGCCGCGGGGACACTAAAAAGCCCAGAAATCATCTCAAGATAACCTCAAGATAACGACTCCCACCGGCAGTAAACATTAACAGGGCCCAGAAATCATCTCAAGATAACCTCAAGATAACGACTCCCACCGGCAGTAAACATTAACAGGACAACATCAGCAGCATAAACACTGCAGTTACACATTCGTGATGCCTACACCAACCAGATCCAGGCAACCTTCGGGACACTGTACCGTACCGTTGAACACATCCAATATTAGACCCGTCCTATAATATGTAGCCCCTAGTGTATGCCTTTCCGTTGGAGACTTTCAGCGCCGTGGAGAGGGGGGGGGGCACCTGCTGCTTGGGTAACAGCTTCTCCCCCGAATCAACCTACCCTGGCTTTGCGCCCTGGTGAGGCCACTCCAAACCGACAACCAGAGCGCAACTCCATAGTCTCCTGAGACTGATGGATGCCTACTAGTGTGGAATGTTCGATTAGTATAGAATTCTGTGAGATCTAACTGCCCCCCTTGGAGTTCTACCAGAACCCATATTTTAACTTTGCATTTTAGCTATATGCATCTCCTATTAGCTCCCACTTGTATCTCTTATCTCTGGTTCTTAAAGAAGGAATATGGCAGAGGGTTTGATTACAGTGTCGACAGGAGCACAAACGCCTTATCGAGACCCAGCTTCGCCTGCCTTGCTAGAGGATAAGGCCTAACCCACAGGCACCCACTGAGATTAAAAGAGGTATCTAGAAACCACACACATATATATATTAATTGCTCTGGCCCCCCTACTGAAACTGTTTGTGATCCGTAAGCACGTCCACTGATCGTCCAGGTGCAGACGATGGGGTCACAATAACGTGGCTGAAGATGTGATGACCAAACCATACCTCAGAAGATGGTGAAACGAGGAACGTCGTTTCACCATCTTCTGATGTTTGCTTTGGTCATCTGATCGTCCAGGTTTACGGTGAGATTGCCTCATTTGTGGACCCTAGCCCTCAGCAGGGGGTCTACAGACCCTAGCCCTCAGCAGGGGTCTACAGACCCTAGTCCTCAGCAGGGGTCTACAGACCCTAGCCCTCAGCAGGGGTCTACAGACCCTAGTCCTCAGCAGGGGTCTACAGACCCTAGCCCTCAGCAGGGGTCTACAGACCCTAGCCCTCAGCAGGGGGCTACAGACCCTAGCCCTCAGCAGGGGTCTACAGACCCTAGTCCTCAGCAGGGGTCTACAGACCCTAGCCCTCAGCAGGGGTCTACAGACCCTAGCCCTCAGCAGTAGCTACAGACTCTAGCCCTCAGCAAGGAGCTACAGACCCTAGCCCTCAGCAGTAGCTACAGACCCTAGGCCTCAGCAGTAGCTACAGACCCTAGCCCTCAGCAGTAGCTACAGACCCTAGCCCTCAGCAGTAGCTACAGACCCTAGCCCTCAGCAGTAGCTACAGACCCTAGCCCTCAGCAGTAGCTACAGACCCTAGCTCTCAACAGTAGCTACAGACCCTAGCCCTCAGCAGGGGTTTACAGACCCTAGTCCTCAGCAGTAGCTACAGACCCCGCCCTCAGTAGTAGCAACAGACCCTAGCCCTCAGCAGTAGCTACAGACCCTAGCCCTCAGCAAGGAGCTACAGACCCTAGCCCTCAGCAGTAGCTACAGACCCTAGCCCTCAGCAAGGAGCTACAGACCCTAGCCCTCAGCAGTAGCTACAGACCCTAGCCCTCAGCAGGGGCTATAAACCCTAGCCCTCAGCAGGAGCTACAGACCCCAGCCCTCAGCAGTAGCTACAGACCCTAGGCCTCAGCAGTAGCTACAGACCCTAGCCCTCAGCAGTAGCTACAGACCCTAGCCCTCAGAAGAGGCTATAAACCCTAGCCCTCAGCAGTAGCTACAGACCCTAGCCCGCAGCAGTAGCTACAGACCCTAGCCCTCAGCAGTAGCTACAGACCCTAGCCCTCAGCAGTAGCTACAGACCCTAGCCCTCAGCAGTAGCTACAGACCCTAGCCCTCAGCAGTAGCTACAGACCCTAGCTCTCAACAGTAGCTACAGACCCTAGCCCTCAGCAGGGGCTATAAACCCTAGCCCTCAGCAGGAGCTACAGACCCCAGCCCTCAGCAGAGGCTAAAGACACTAGCCTTCTGCAGGGGGCTACAGACCCCAGCCCTCAGCAGAGGCTACAGACCCTAGCCCTCAGCAGAGGCTACAGACCCTAGCCCTCAGCAGTAGCTACAGACCCTAGCCCTCAGCAGTAGCTACAGACCCTAGCCCTCAGCAGTAGCTACAGACCCTAGCCCTCAGCAGTAGCTACAGACCCTAGCCCTCAGCAGTAGCTACAGACCCTAGCCCTCAACAGTAGCTACAGACCCTAGCCCTCAGCAGGAGCTACAGACCCCAGCCCTCAGCAGTAGCTACAGACCCTAGCCCTCAGCAGTAGCTACAGACCCTAGCCCTCAGCAGGGGCTATAAACCCTAGCCCTCAGCAGGAGCTACAGACCCCAGCCCTCAGCAGAGGCTAAAGACACTAGCCTTCAGCAGGGGGCTACAGACCCCAGCCCTCAGCAGAGGCTACAGACCCTAGCCCTCAGCAGTAGCTACAGACCCTAGCCCTCAGCAGAGGCTACAGACCCTAGCCCTCAGCAGTAGCTACAGACACTAGCCCTCAGCAGTAGCTACAGACCCTAGCCCTCAGCGCCAGTCAACCGCAATATGCTTCATTGATCGTAAATTAGCTGCCTATAGAGTGCCATTATGCTTCACCTGTCAGCATCACAACTGTCAGAATAGACTGATCTGTGGCACACGTTGATTTAGCTCACCAGAATACACAGATATCCAACCACAGACAGAACCCAATCTGTGTACAGATTGTGTACAGGATGGTGTACAGGCCTGAGAACCCTGTACCCTAGTTGACTGACAGCTCTGAGATGAGACCCAAGAGCCGAAGCCCAACCCACACAAGCACAATTAGGCGGGTACAGAGCTCATTGTTCCCCACTAGCAGGCAGTTATATCAAATGTTCAGCTCTCTTGAGTGGGTGGATCCCTCTGCTTTTATCATAGAGCTCAACTTTAGAGCCCCTGGCAGGTAATGTGCCCTCTTGCTCGGCTCACCGTCAGTATAGAGCCCTCTTAAGTGTACATATGCGGTCACTGCAGAGCTTTGCCTCTACAGCACCACAGTGTAATCACAAGATTTGTAAACACGAGGACGCTAATCCAGATCTTTCACCGCTAACCTGTCCTCCTGCAGTGGCAAGATTCACATGGACTGGTACTTCTGGTTAATTGTTGTCACGTCTTTGCTATATAGCAGGAACTGGAGCCCTTTGTACTTCAGCTACTGGAGCCCTTTGTACTTCAGCTACTGGAGCCCTTTGTACTTCAGCTACTGGAGCCCTTCATACTTCAGCTACTGGAGCCCTTCATACTTCAGCTACTGGAGCCCTTCATACTTCAGCTACTGGAGCCCTTCATACTTCAGCTACTGGAGCCCTTCATATTTCAGCTACTGGAGCCCTTCATACTTCAGCTACTGGAACCCTTCATATTTCAGCTACTGGAGCCCTTCATACTTCAGCTACTGGAACCCTTCATATTTCAGCTACTGGAGCCCTTCATACTTCAGCTACTGGAGCCCTTCATATTTCAGCTACTGGAGCCCTTCATACTTCAGCTACTGGAACCCTACATCAGCTACTGGAGCCCTACATCAGCTACTGGAGCCCTACATACTTCAGCTACTGGAGCCCTACATCAGCTACTGGAACCCTACATCAGCTACTGGAGCCCTACATCAGCTACTGGAGCCCTACATACTTCAGCTACTGGAACCCTACATCAGCTACTGGAACCCTACATCAGCTACTGGAGCCCTACATCAGCTACTGGAGCCCTACATCAGCTACTGAAACCCTACATCAGCTACTGGAACCCTACATCAGCTACTGGAGCCCTACATCAGCTACTGGAGCCCTACATACTTCAGCTACTGGAGCCCTACATACTTCAGCTACTGGAGCCCTACATCAGCTACTGGAACCCTACATCAGCTACTGGAGCCCTACATACTTCAGCTACTGGAACCCTACATCAGCTACTGGAGCCCTACATCAGCTACTGGAACCCTACATCAGCTACTGAAACCCTACATCAGCTACTGGAACCCTACATCAGCTACTGGAGCCCTACATCAGCTACTGGAACCCTACATCAGCTACTGAAACCCTACATCAGCTACTGGAACCCTACATCAGCTACTGGAACCCTACATCAGCTACTGGAGCCCTACATCAGCTACTGGAACCCTACATCAGCTACTGGAGCCCTACATCAGCTACTGGAACCCTACATCAGCTACTGGAGCCCTTCATACTTCAGCTACTGGAACCCTACATCAGCTACTGGAACCCTACATCAGCTACTGGAGCCCTACATCAGCTACTGGAGCCCTTCATACTTCAGCTACTGGAACCCTACATCAGCTACTGGAACCCTACATCAGCTACTGGAACCCTACATCAGCTACTGGAACCCTACATCAGCTACTGGAGCCCTACATCAGCTACTGGAGCCCTACATCAGCTACTGGAGCCCTACATACTTCAGCTCTCGTGGCTGCTGATTGCTAAGTTTTAGAGAGTCGCAGAAAGAGAAAATTTACACGCAAAATTCCATCATATAAATTCACTCCATTACATAAACAAATAATAATTACATGTTGTTGCATTGTCAGCTCTCTGTCGCTTTCATTTGCATATGCAATTTGAAACGTACGAAATTAGTTCGGCAAATTTTGACCATAAATTGTTTAACAGCATTTGCTAATTAGAGGCAAAATTTGTATTGGTGGTAATTTTGCTTTTTTGGGATATAAAGTGTTGTATTCTTTTATTTACTTTTGTTGGTTATAAATGCCTGTTTGAATTTTTTTTTTTTTTTTTTACAAATTGTTTATTTAAGTTTGTTGAAAATTAGACGACCAAGACGGTTTTGTTATCACAGTTATTTTGTGATTGACAGGTTCTTGTCGTGTGTCCAATTATATATGTGATTCATTCCATCTGTCTGTCTGTCTGTCTGTCTGTCTCTCTCTCTCTCTCTCTCTCTCTCTCTCTCTCTCTGGGGGAATGGTGAATGGACGGTGGATAGAGGTTATCTTCTTGAGGTTATCTTGAGATGATTTCGGAGCTTAGTGTCCCCGCGGTCCGGTCCTCGACCAAGCCTCCACCCCCAGGATCTTACTCCCAGGTACCTATTTACTGCTAGGTAACAGGGGCATTAAGATGAAAGAAACATTTTGCCCATTTGTTTCCGCCTCCACCGGGGATCGAACCCGGAACCTCAGGGACTACGAATCCGAAGCGCTGTCCACCCAGCTGTCAGTAACTCTCTTTACAATCTGAGATCTACAAAATGCACCACTTGAAAATATCTCAGACACAACGCAACACAAAGTAACTTATATCATCCTTCTCTATCTATAACAGAGAAGATCAGTTTGTCTGTTCAAAGGTAATATGCTTATGGCTAGCCTCACTCAACTTTGCAGGGTAAACGGAATGGGGTACAGGTCGGACATAGGTCGGTCGGGATCATCCCTAGTGTCACTTATAAGTTACAGCTGCCTCTTAACCCTTTTTCATGAAGTCTGAAATGAATTTGTGGATGTGTTTTCCATAGAGTTTCTAAATTACCTCCGAGGTATGTGCCTGCACATTTTCATGATTTACTGGAAAACGATGAACAGAATTCATTCGGGTTACAGTGACGAAGATAGAAAGCAGTGAAAGATGGTTATGGTGATGTAGATAGTATATACACTGAAGACAATAGTGAAGATGAAGATCCACTCCTGCACACCACACGGCTACCTTGAGGTTACCTTGAGGTTACGTTGAGGTGATATCGGGGCTCAGCGACCCCGCGGCCCGGTCGTCGACCAGGCCTCCTAGGCTAGGCTATATACAAGCATCTGTCTCTTTCTGCAACTCTCTCTCCATCCACCATTCCCCCAGAGAGAGAGAGAGAGAGAGAGAGAGAGAGAGAGAGAGAGAGAGAGAGAGAGAGAGAGAGAGAGAGAGAGAGAGAGAGAGAGAGAGAGAGAGAGAGAGAGAGAGAGAGAGAGACAGAGACAGAGAGATGGTTACCGGCCATTAATTAGAAACACATCATCTAAGACCATTGTTAAAATTACCACAGTGCCCAAATTCATCGAAAATTCCTAGCAAAATGCCTTGAATCCCACACTGAAATTAATTTCGAGAATTACGTGGCGAAGCTGTGC